ATTGCTGGGTCCTAGGGGAGTTCTATTGTTAATTTGTTGAGGAAACTCCACACCTTTTTCCAAGGGGCTGCACCAGTTTACATTCCCACCAACAGTGTAGGAGGGTGCTCACTGCAATTTTTGAATAAAGCACAAAGAATGGATACAATTTGCCTAAAGTCTTCCTGCCTGAAAAAAAGGTCTAGCATAATAAGAAAGGATTACTCAAATTTTGGAAGTTGACTGTGTTCCTCATATCCTGACTCTACCACTCCCTTGTTTTGTGACCTTGAGCAAGGCTCTTAAACTCTTTTTACTCAGCTTCCTTATAGTAAAATGGAGATTAACTGGACCATCCACATTGCTTTGTAAGAAGGAATATATGAGTTTACAAAGTAAAAGACCAGAATAATATCTGGCATCAGAGAATCTAGTACATAAAGCTGCTAAAAAGACAAGATATAAGACCTACAACTTGCGGGTGACTGGGTGGCTCAGTCACTTGAGCGTCTGACTTCAGCTCAGGTCACCATCTCACGGATTGTGGGTTCAAACCCCACATCGGGCTCTGTGCTAACAGCTAGCTCAGAGCCTGGAGCCTGCTTCAGATTCTGTGTCTCCCTCTGTCTCCAACCCTCCCCTGCTCATGCTGTTCTCTCTTTCTCAGAAATAAATAAAATGTTAAAAAAAAAAAAAAAAAAGACCTACAACAATGGTAGGGAGATGGCCTATGAATGACATTGACATCCTAAGTGACTGTCATACACCACGACTTACCATAAAAACTTAAAAATCATTTCTTTTCTTCTATCTCCTTTTTTTTCTTTTCAAAATTCTCATTTCTTTTTCCTTCAAATGTTTTTTATTTATTCTTTCTCCTTAAATTCCAAGCTTCTCAGTTGATCTTGGGAATTTTCTTCAGGGGTTAATAAGAATATTGGTAACCTTCTTTTTGGGAGGCTTCCTGATGTACACACACTTTCCAATAACATAAAATTCAAAGTGAAAGTTTTCCCATTTCTTTGATGTTTATAAGTAGAGCTTTGACAGGGATTGTTATGATGTTCTTAAAAATAGTTTTACGGGGCGCCTGGGTGGCTCAGTCGGTTAAGCATCTGACTTCGGCTCAGGTCATGATCTCATGGTTCGTGGATTTGAGCCCCATGTAAGGCTCTGTGCTGACAGCTCAGAGCCTGGAGGTTGCTTTGGATTCTGTGTCTCCTTCTCTCTTTGCCCCTCCCCTACTCATGCTCTGTCTCTCAAAAATAAATAAGCACTAAAAAAATTTTAAAAAAGAGTTTACTTGGGAATATTTGCAATCTCTAAGAATTTTATTCTTGTTTTAGGGAATAGTTACATACATATATTAATAAGATCCTTACAGATGATAAAGATAGGAAAAATCAGATGAATTCTTTCATATCTTTAATAAAAGTCTGTAATCCAAATTATACACTGCATGCTTTTCATTTTAGTAAATTCTCCAGATGGTATTTAGACCTTGTGCTTCAATATGACAAAATGGCTTTTGCATCTACTCTAAATGAGTCCAAAGAAAAACTCATCCTATTCAACAATTGTAAGAACACATTTACTTATTCCTTACCAATCTGAACCTTTAAGTAAAAAGCAAACTCAGATTAATTAAAGCATGAGTCATTGGAAAATTGACCCCTTTGTCACTTCATGGTCATATTCTCTGCCAGCCAAGGTCCTTTCACACAGCTTGACAAGTGTGTGTGATGGCATTGCTGGACCACTCACACAGACAAACACAAATCCAATACCTAAAATTAGATCTTTACTAAATTACATTGCACTGCACTTTTACACCTGCTTGGCAGATAATACCCAGAAGAAAGGTATAATTACATAGGTTCTTTGGCAGAAATAGAAAACAGGTTAAAACCCCAAAAATCACTGAAAGAGAAGGAAGGAAGGAAGAGAAACAGCAAGAGGGGGAGGAAGAGAGAGAAGACAGAGAATGAAAGAATCCTTTCCCCAAATCATGGTCAGCAGATATCAACAGCTTTGTTAGAAGTGACTTTTAATGAGGATTTGCTATGTGCCAGTCACTGTGATAAGCTTCTTATACCACTACAAATTAGTTAGTGTTATCCAGAGTTTGCAAATAATGGAACTGAGTCATGGATAAGTTAAAGACTTGCTCAAGTTCATACAGCTAACTGGAGGTGAAGCCAAATTTGAAGCCAATAATTCTTCTTTTTTTAAATGTTTATTTGAGAGAGAGAGAGAGTGCACGCCCACACCACATGAGCAAGGGAGGAGCAGACAGAGAGGGAGACAGAGAATCCTAAGCAGGCTCGTCACTGGCAGCAGAGAGCCACTGGCAGCAGAGAGCCTGATGTGGGACTTGAACCTATGAACTGCAAGATCAAGCCCTGAGCTGAAGTCAGACGCTCAATCGACTGAGCCAGTCAGGTGTCCCTGTACCCAATAATTCTTGAGAGCTTGAGATAATTTTATACCTTCCAATTATCCAAAATATAAAATACACATCTCTAAGATCACAACTGGAAATTAGAGATATTGATGAGACTTTTATTTAGTTACCAACCCCAACTACCTAATTAAATACTGGGGACTGATTATTCACATCCTCTCTGTCTCTCTCTCTCTTTTTTTTTTTTTTTTAACTGTTGTAAGAACACATGTGGATATCCAGGTTTCACAACACCATTTGCTGAAGAAACTGTCCTATCCCCAATAATTCTTGAGAGCTTGAGATAATTTTATACCTTCCAATTATCCAAAATATAAAATACACATCTCTAAGATCACAACTGGAAATTAGAGATATTGATGAGACTTTTATTTAGTTACCAACCCCAACTACCTAATTAAATACTGGGGACTGATTATTCACATCCTCTCTGTCTCTCTCTCTCTCTCTTTTTTTTTTTTAACTGTTGTAAGAACACATGTGGATATCCAGGTTTCACAACACCATTTGCTGAAGAAACTGTCCTATCCCCCTTGGGTATTGTTGGTAATCTTGTCAAAGATCAGTTAAACACATATGCTTTGGTTTATTTCTGAGCTCTCTATTATGTTCCATTGATCTATGTCTTTATGTCAGTACAACTATTTTGATTCTTATAACTTTATTGTTTGAAATCAGAAAGTGTGATGCCTTCAGCTTGGTTCTTAAGATTGTTTTGGCCAGTCAAGGTCTCAGTGGTTTTATATGAATTTTAGGATTGTTTTCATTATTTCTGTGAAAAATGCTATTGGGATTTTTTTAAGTTTATTGTTTTGAGAAAAAGAAGACATGAGTGGGGAGGGTCAGGGAGAGAGAGAGAAAGAGAGAGAGAGAGAGAGAGAGAGAGAGAATCCAAAGTGGGCTCTGCGCTGTCAGCATGGAGCCCGACACAGGGCTTGAACCCACAAACCATGAGAACAGTGAACTGGAGCTGAAACCATGAGTCAGTCACATAACCGACTGAGCCACCCAGACACCCTGCCATTGTGATTTTGATAGGCATTTCCATTCATTTATGTCTTTAATTTTTGTCAATGTTTTGTAATTTTCAATGTAAACGTCTTTGGTTAAGTTTATTCCCAAGTATTCCACACTCTCAATCCTTCGCTGTCCTGTTAATTTTTGTCTTACTACTAATAATTTTTGCAGGATCATTTGTATCATTTGCTGTATCATTAAGGAGAGCACTTTTCCCATTTATTTTCAAGATTTGTAAAGGTTTTATTTTAAAGGATTCCTTGTTTTACCTTAGTGTTACAGGTTGTTAAGTACAAATGAGGTGAGAGGAACATGTTTGATTTAAAAAAAATTAATCAAGCTATTAAGCCATGAAGAGGCATGGAGGAAACTTAAATGTGTATTTAAACATTGGAAGTCAATCTGAAAAGGCGGCACATATATGATTCTGGCTATATGACCTTCTGGAAAAGGCAAAGCTCTGGAGACAGTAAAAATGACAGTGTTTGCCAGAGGTTGTGGTGGAGGGAGGGATGAATAAATGGCACACAGAGGATATTTAAGGCAGTGAAAATACTGTTTGATATCCTAATCATGGATATGTGTCATTTTACATTTGTCCAAACCTATGTAATATATAGTGCCAGAATGACTGTAATTTAAACTGTGGACTTTGGGTGATTACAGTGTGTCAATGTAATGTCATCAATTATAAACATTCTGCCATCCAGGTAGTGGAAGATGATAATAAAGGAGGCTATGCTTGTGGTGGGGTAGAGTGTATACAAAATCTCTGTCCCTTCTGCTCAATTTTGCTGTGAACCTAAAACTGCCCTGAAGAGAAAATAGTCTTAATGTTAAAAAATGATCTAGCAACCATAGGTTAACATCCTGAAGTTAAAAAAAAAGTCAGTTATTACTTAGTGCTATTATTTTTCTAGCTAGGGATCCGTCATGCTCAATGATAGAATAAGAAATAGAACAATTTTATGCAACTCTTCGAGTAGTGAAATCAATGTTGGATTACTTGTTCCTTAGCATAATCTATAAATTAAGCAAGAGAAATGTATTTTTCTCTGCATGGCTTTATTTCTATATAAAGGTTAATTAAAGGTAATGTTTTTTTGGCTTTATGTATATTTTGTGTGCATTTGTGTTCATGGGAGTTTATGAAGAGAAAATATAAGCGCGTTAACACTGTGATACCCTTTCTTCTTTTTATATCACACATATTAATAAGAGTAATACACATAAAACTTCAAATAATATAGAACTACATAAAATAAGAGGGTTCCCCCCACCTCCTACTTCCATTGCTCACAGGAATATACAACTTTCTATATAGAAGTATATGTGGATATATGTCTATGCATGTATATGCCTTTATTTTAAAAAATATCTTTATTTCAAGTGGCACATATATGCTATCGTTAATAAAAATGAGTTAATACCATTTATATTATTATACAACTTACTTTCCTACTTTTTTCACTTTAAATTTTAACAGTTACTTTTTCTTGTTTTTGCATACCAATCTACTTCCTTTTTTCCTTGTGGCCAGGTGGGATCCATAAGACACAGGATGATGACATCATATGACATATGATGACAGGAGCTGTAGCAGCCCGAGTCAAGGATGAACATCATATCTGGAGGATGATAGCATCATCTGATCTTTGATCTGTTACAAGGTAGTACTTTGTTCATGCCGTTATGTTTTGAAGGTTGTTAGATTGCCTTAGACTGTACCCTAATAAAATGTCCCTCATTGCTCAGTCCAATGACATCTATTCTGGGAAGCCTAGATTTTCACTTCCTTTAGTCGTAAACCAATCAAAACTGGTCACTCTTATCTCAGTGCTCTTTGTACTTTGAAAATGTTTCTTTCAACTTATAATTCTCTGGGGTTTTTTAAAAAATTATTTTAATGCTTAGTTATTTTTGAGAGAGAGAGACACACACACAGAATGAGATGGGAGAGGTGCAGAGAGAGAGGGAGACACAGAATCTGAAGCAGGCTCCAGGCTTTTAGCTGTCAGCACAGAGCCCAGTGCGGGGCTCGAACTCACAAACTGTGAGACCATGATCTGAGCTCAGTTCAGATGCTCAACTGACTGAGCCACCCAGACATCCCAAATCCTCTGGTTTTATTATACTTCTTTTAATGTAATACTTGATGTTAACACAGAAGCCTACCTAATATTCCAGACTAAGGTGCCTTTGTCATGTGCTATCTTAATACCCTCTGCTTCTGTATAACAATTTTGATCCAATTTACCTTCTCACTATTTACCTTCCTACTATAATATGTAAGCTCCATATGGCAGAATCTTGGCTGCTTCCTGTGTCGCCAACTTTACAGGAAATGTTGCACAGAATAGGCTCACAGAAAATGCTTATTGGATAAATCAATGGTCTCCTTAAAGATAGGAAGTATAGGCCAATCATATTTGTAACCCATTCATTGTAAGCTCAGTGTGTGGCACCACTTTGGTGGCCCATAAATGTAGAATGCAACAAACTGGGTTTGAATGGGATGTTACTGGGAAAGATAGGATGGGCTTAAAATACCATTTCTGCGAAGGGCTGTGGGTAGGTATCTGCCAGTGTTTCCATCAGTAAATACTTTAACATGTCTTTATATCTGAAAAATAATCACTGGAAATAACAATAAGAAAAATCTAAAAAGAACCAGACAGGAATGACTGTTATATAAATTCTAAGATGTGTCTTCTGTACCTTAAAAACAATTGTGTGACTGTGCATTTCAATTCAAACCCTCACACCCACCTTTCCATGGTCAGGTACTTGTGAGCAAAATCATCATTAGTTAATTTCCTTAAGTGTGGGAAAATAGGTTCTACTTACATAAATAGGTTAGAATGGGATCACAAGTAACTTGTTATAGCACCTGCAGGAAATTATTTTCCATCTGATGCCAATATACTGCTGTACTTCGATCACAAACCCACTTGCCCCCCAGACTCTTTGCTTCTTACACACACAAATTCATGATTACTGTCTGATTGTTTTCTCCACATTTGCCTCTATAAGATCTTGTTTTCTTCATGTTCACCACGTGGGTAATAGCTTGTGAGCTCAATCAATATGAAGTCAAAACCCCTGTTCAAGGTTCTTGTCTTCTCCTTGACATCAGCCTCTCTTGTATTCAGTTCTGCGGCGGCTCTCTTGCTGGACAAGAGAGAACTCCAAACTCATAGTCTGCAACACATAAGCAAATCATATCCTATGTTATCAGGAAAACAGAATTTATGCTTGTATTTGGGGAAATAGATAAATAGGATACTTAAATTTGTAAGTGGTTTCTCATTATCATTAGAATTATTAGGAAACTGTCTTCACAAATACATTGTATATTAAAATTATGTAGAAATTGAGAGAAATATCTAGGGTTGACATGCTAAGTGAAATAAATCACACAAATACCACATAATTTCATTTATATGTGGAATCTACAGAAATCAAACAAACTAAAAAAAACCCAGACTTTTGAATACAGAGAGCAAACTGGTGGTTGCCAGAGGGTTGGGGGTGAGGGATGGGCAAAATAGATAAAGGGGCTTAAAAGGTACAGACGTTCACTTATAGAATGAATAAGTCACAGAGATGAAAAGTACAGCAGAGGGAATATAGTCAATAATATTCTACTAACATTGTATGGTGGCAGATGGTGAAAACAAGTAAAAAAAAAACAACAAGAAATTTCTAGGTTGACACAGTGAAGAAACTTGAAAAATAGCATATTTGGGACATTTACTTTGAATGCTCAACAGTTCCATTCAACTCCCCCATATGAAAACAGGTTGATATTAAGTTCTCTACATTTTCAAAATATTCCATATTTTCCACAAATATTTGTATATAAACAGAAATGATCACAAACACGTGTGTAGTGTGTATCCAGAATAGATTGGCTGATGTGATCAGTAGTCTGCAACATAACATGGAAATTGCCTCAATATCACCCAGGCCTCTTCCTTTTGCTGCCTGGATGCCATGCTGTCATTGACTGCTATCTTCTTCTTTCAGAAGGCTCTGTGGGAACTCTCCCCCCTCACTTATGACTTGGCGTGTAGAATCATGAATTAAATTCTATGCTCATTTTATTTGCTTGTTTACATGAAGAATGATTATTCCACAGTGTGAAATAATGAATATTCAAGTGGTGGGAAATCTGAATTTGTGAAACCATATGTGAAGGTATTGACTCTTTCAGAATATTTTCACTGAAATGGATGATACTGAACAAATTGCCTCTTTTTTTAAATTTTTTTTTCTCCCATGATTCCCCCAGGCCACTGAAAGAAAACTCAGACATGAGTTTGAATTGCTCTCTCAATAAAAAGTTAATAGGTTATTTCCAATTTTCTTCATTCTGAAATTTGTAATATAATTCTCATATAATAATCAATCCCCAGCCAACATGGCTGAGGATGCTGTGGTTTGCTTCTTTCTTTCCTTGTTCCTCCTCTCTCCCTTGCTAACAGCTTTCTGGCAGAAAGGAAGAGGGGTCAGTGCCAGTGGAGGAGGAAAGCTCCTGGTTGAGTGACACTGTTGTAAATTGGCTTCATTCCCTCTCAGCCTGGAAGACTTTCTCTTTTTCAGAAAGATACTCCCAGTCCCTACTGTTAGGAACCACTCACCTGGCTCTCCTTGACCTAAGGTGTGTGCTCCTGCCTCAGCTGGTAATGTACTCCGTCCGTCCGCAGCTTCTTAGGAACTTGGCAGCCCCTTGCAGCTCAGAGGATCCTGTGACTGATCCCTTACATGTGGCTTTTGGGTGGTCCACAGGAAAAACATATGATCCTTTTCCCCAGTAAACTGTGAGAGAACAGCTCATCCAGAGTTTCCATCTTTGACTTCAACATCTCTACCATTGGTTAACCAAGTATATTTCTCAGAAAGTAGTCAGACGTCAGCTCACTTTTTCCAACTGATGGGTACATACATTGAACTCCATATTCATGTCCGTAGGTTTTCAGTGAGCTCTGTGCAGGTCTGTAGCTTCATGCATCAGTTCTTAAAGCATCCCAGAGAGCCCAGGACCATATCATAACTTGCGACTTGCCTTCCTGGCTCTTTCTTTTCAAAATCACACTAAACTTGTCTTTTAGAACTGCATTAGCATAAAGATGAGTTTAATCCAAACTGAATCATATTCATTTTTTCTTCTGATTTTTGAAAGAAATTGAAATGTCTTCATGAGCCTCTTCATGGTTCCTAGGCACTATGCTTCCTAACCTGAGTGGAGAAGCCAGTCCTGAGTAAACCTTCAAAGATTCAATCAATGTATTGAATAAGTGAGACTCAGGGGGATGTTGTAACAACATAATTTTATTTTTTATTTCCTCCTGTTAATTTATTGAGCACCTATCAGATACTAGCTACTGTATTAATAAGCACAATAGGTACCTGTTGTCTTCAGTATTTGAATGTTGTCAGATAGGTGATGTAAAGGTACTGAAAAATCTAACAGGGTAATAGTGCTGAAAGAAAGAAAGAGAGAGAGAGAGAGAAAGAAAGAAAGAAAGGAAAGAAAGAAAGAAAGAAAGAAAGAAAGAAAGAAAGAAAGAAAGAAAGAAAGAAAGAAAAGAAAAAAGGAAAAGAAACCACAAATGCTTGGACATGTTTATGTGATAGATTGTACTCTTGTCTGGGCCAGGCTCCACCAGTGGGAACAGGGGCATGTACTTGACTCGGTAAGATATAGATGTGTTTCCTTTGGCTTTAATAATTAGTGTGGCAAAATCTATGTCCACTTGGATGGGGAGCTCTGGTTAGGGTCTCTGCAGCATCTGTGAACTTTGACCAGGTGTGCTAGCTAGAGTGTGTGTTTTTAGACTCAGCTTCTTCATTAGTAAAAAAAAAAAAAAAAAAGGAGAAGTTTAGGGGCACCTGGGTGTCTCACTTGGTTGAGTGTCCAACTCTTGATTTCGGCTCAGGTCATGATCCCAGGGTTGTAGGATTGAGCCCCATGTCCAGCTCCATGCCAAGCATAGAGCCAGCTTAATATTCTCTCTCTCTCTCTCTCTCTCTCTCTCTCTCTCTCTCTCTCTTCCTCTCTTCCTCCCTCCCTTTCTCTGCCCCTCACCCATGTGTGCATACATTCTCTTTCTCAAAATAAAATAAAAGAATTTTTTAAAAAGTTTAGGAGAAGTGGTCTTTAATGCCCCTGCTGCTCTATAGCAATTAGGGAAGTGAGGTAAAATATCTTTTAAAGTCCTGATAGGGGCATCTGGGTGGCTCAGTCAGTTAAGTGTCTGACTTCAGCTCAGGTCATGATCTCATGGTTTGTGGGTTCAAGCCCTATGTTGGGCTCTGTGCTGACAGCTGACAGATTCCCTCTCTCTCTGACCCTCCCCTGCTCTCTCTCTCTCTCTCTCTGTCTCTGTCTCTCTCTCAAAAATAAATAAAACATTTAAAAATTAAAAAAATAAAGTATTGATAAATCCAATTTAAGTCCAATAAGTGGACATGCACTATGATTAAATATTATTTCTTGTAACAAAGGAAACATCTCATTCAGTAACTGTCTGTTGAATGTCTGCTCCACACGAATGTACTAGGGATTGAGGTTATAAGAGTGAATGCAGCAGGCAGGTTCCAAGCCCACGTGGAATGTGGAAGGCCAGTGACCAAGTCCATTATCCTCTTCTCTACTTGCTGGTATACTGAACTTCGTGGACAGAAGGTATTTATCACTGACTAGAAAATAATCATAGTCCCTGTACTGATTCTTCAGATTAAAAAGGAAAGGACATTTTGTTTTGTTTTAAACAGAAAGCACAAATCTCAATTAAAGAATGCCATTGGAAACCAAACTGCCACTATACACTGTATACTTAAGAATGCATTTAAATTATATCTACAATTTTGAATAGCTCCTGTGTCTTCCTTGTAGGAAGATATCTATTTGGTCTATAAGCCAATAATGTGCCTGGCACTCTGCTGAATTTTAAACATTACTATATTTTCTGTTAGAGAGCAAGGGCTTTTCTTACAGGGCAGAACTGACTTTCGCATTAAATGGCTAAGTACCAGTTACATTTACATTACCAAAAAAAAAATACTAGACTCTATTTAGCATTCAGTTCTGAGACACAATAAAAAATACGCATACTCCCGCTATGTACTGATAGGAGTTGTTTTGGCTTTTAATAAAATAACTTTTTACTTAGAGCACTTCCTTGTAAAAGCTCAAAGAGTTTCACCGCATGCCTCATGTGCATGTGCAACTTTATCTGGAATAATTTTTTTCAAGAAGGCCTCAAGTCCAGAGTGACTTTCTCATGTATTATTATTTTGCTTAAAATCAAGCATCATGTTGATCACATATCTTCTAATCATTCCATATTTGTTGCACAGAGTACTGAGCTCCTTCACCTTTTAATCTGCCCACCATCAGATAAAATCTCTACCCATATTTTCCTCAATTTATGGAAACCCTGGGTCTTTTACCCTTTAAGCAGCTATTCCAGACTATAAATTATGAAGGATATGGAGTGTTGTTGTTCTTTTCTTTAAAGTTTATTTATGAACTAGAGAGAGCGTGTGCTCATGCATGAGGAGGGAAGGGGAAGAGAGAGAGGGAAAGAGAGAATTCCAAGCTGGCTCTGTGCTGTTAGTGCAGAGCCCAGTGTGGGGCTTGACATGGGGCTCATTGTGGGGCTTGATCATGACCTGAGCCAAAATCCAAAGTTGGAGGCCCAACTAACTGAGCCACCAAGGCGCCCCTGAAGGATGTAGAGTTTTATATGAGCTAACAGCAAGTAGAGACAGAACAACAGAATCACTGTAGTTTGAAGACCAAAAGATAACATGTGAAAGCTGAGTGACTTTGAACAAATTACTTGATCTCTCTTTGTTTTAGTTGCCTGTAAGATTAGGATGTATTAATAGAAAATACACCTCATGTGGTTGTTTGAAGATGTGGAGTTTTGAAACATGACCCCCAAATTCTTTGATACAGTTCTCATCAAAGAGTGAAGCCAATGTTCCCTACTATTTAATTTGGGCTTTAGGGCTTCTTCGTCAATGGGATACATTGTGTCATGTTATGCCCTTAAGAAACTAGCAGTTTATGCTTATCTCTTGCTCTACTAACCCAGACAGACAGCCAAGTGAGAAGTCCTAGAAGCTCATGGACAGACTCACCTGGAGAGGAGTGGGGGACTCCTTGCTCATGGCCATGAAATATGGGGGATATAGTTCAGCCCATAATATCTAGGATGCTTCTAAATATCCTACAATTCAAAGGACAGCCTCCTCCTTGCCAGACGTACACACAATAAAGGAGTATCTTGCCCAAAATTTGAACAAGGACAAGACTCTGGCCTAGAGCCCTGGTTTAGCATACAACAGGGGCTCGATAAATTTTTACTGAATAATGAACATGTGGCTAAAAATACATAACCGAAACAGAATTTGAGAAAATAGTACTTACGCTGACTACATATGATAAATTCTGATATTTTCTTTTCTATATTCTTAATATTGGTTACACCCATTAAATTGGGTTTTAAAATCTTGTAGTTCCGTATTTAAAAAGTTACGACATATAGAATGCTACTATTATGAGTCATTAGACTGATTTTTAACAGAGAGGCTAAAATTCATTCATCAAAATTATTATTTTAAAGTAGCCTGGTAGGAAGGCAGTACAGTTATTCAAATGATGCTGCAGATATTCAAGAGTTTCGGGGCACCTGGGCGGCTCCATTGGTTAAGCATCCGACTTAGTTTTTTTTTTTTTTTAATGTTTTTCTTTTAATTTATTTCTGAGAGAGAGAGAGAGAGAGAGAGAGAGTGTGAGCAGGGGAGGGTTAGAGAGAGAAGGAGGTATAGAATCTGAAACAGGCTCCAGGCTCTGAGCTAGCTGTCAGCACAGAGCCTGACGCGGGGCTCGAACCCACGAACCATGAGATCATGACCTGAGACGAAGTCGATGCTTAACCTACTGACCCACCCAGGCGCCCCAAGCATCTGACTTTTGATTTCAGCTCAGGTCATGAAATCCATGGTTCATGGGATTGAGCCCCAGTGACGTGCAGAGCCTGCTTGGGACTCTCTCTCTCTGCCTCTCCCCAACTCACATGTACACTCAAATGTGCTCGCTCTCTTTCTCAAAATAAATAAATAATCATTTAAAAATAGTTTATTTTGGGGTATAGACATTCTTTCCTCAGAGTTTATGGAATAATCATGTTATTTTATAGTGCCTCCCTTGTTTTTTAACTGTAAATTTATTATCTCAGTTGAACAACTATCTTATTCACCATACCTGACTTTAAATGGCCTTTAGCCACTATTGAAATTTAAATCCACCCTCAAATGGTGATTACTGGGCACCTGTTATAACACTCAAAATAATATGCTATCAGTTCTAACAGCAATTCAAAACAATGGCTTACTAAATATTTTTAGACTTAGAATAACTGCAAGATAACTTTGAAGGCAGCCATTCTTTTCTGAATATTTAAGTTCTGTTTATATATTCAGTGTGTATTACAGACATGTATGACCATAGGCTAGGGCATATGAAAATGTGTGACTTTGCCCAGTGCTTCAAATCATATGTCCTTGTTCTGATTATCAACACATTTTAAGAAAAACTTTTTATAGTTTTGTGGTGTGAAAAATTGCATGTTGACTTTTACAGAAATGATGGAGAGAGAGTTGTTTTCCTTAAAGGCACATTGTAACACCCTTTGTCACTGAAAAAGAAAATCAAAGGAGTTCTCTTTGACAGCTTTATGATACATTCAAAAGATATTTAGGACCCATATTTTCATCCTTTATTTGAAAATTATTGAAATAAATGCTACATAAATGGAATTCTAATTCAGTGTACTGAATTACAAAACATGGTATAAGGATGAAAAGGAGATTTTATTATACATTATAAATATGTTTTGTAACAGTAATATATACTCTTGGTTTAAAAAAATCTTTAGAAAATGGTATAAAATGAAAAGTCTCAGTCTCTAAAGGAAATCAGTTAATCATTTATTCCATATCCTTGAAACATTTAGCACATAAAACATTTTTATGCAAATGAATGCATACTATTCAAATTGTTTTTTCCCTTTTTTAATTTAAAATTTATCTTGCAGATCTTTCACATTGGAGCATAGTTACTTGCCTCATTATTTTCCATACATTTTACTCCGCGATGTGAAGCGAGAGACTGTCTCATTCCAAGAGCTCAGGTAAGGAAGACATTCAATTATCTTAATTTCTTTTTAGCTCAACTTATTTTATCTCAGGATTCAGTTGCCATGAGTGGCCACAAACATCATCTCTGCCAAGGCAGGGTTTTTCTGCATGGCATTTCTGAGTTCCATGAGGCTTATGTAGAACAGAGGTCCTAAGGCATGAGTGTGGCATCTAACAAGATGTCTTGTCTTCCTGTGCCAACAGATGCTAAGATGTATACTGTCCCCTCTGACCCTCAAACACTGCCCCATGTAGATTTCTGTTGATCATCCCTGCCTCTTACTCCATTTCCTTTAGGTCCCTTGGATCTCCCTGATATGTCTATGCCACTTTAGACACGGGATTACTGAGCCAGGCTGGCATTCGGGAGCCGTTCCTTCCTACTCTGTTCTTTCAGCACCATGTCAAGATGCTGTCAAAATTGGTGGTCGTGGGAGGGGAGGAGGGGGTTGTAGATTCTAATCCAATGCAGGCATCTATCTTAGAGGCAAGTTTTCTTTGCTCTTAGACTCAGCAAAAGGATCTGTAGCTTTTGTTACTTCCCATCCCTGGATTCAGCCTTAAATGGAAGGCTCCTTTCTAGTGCACATGCTCCCCTCGTAACTCCTTCCCTTCTCCCAACCCAGCAAGTTTTTATCTTGGAGGTCAGATAGGTAGGTTTCTCTTGTTCACTGCACAAGCTTCTAAATAGCAGGGTCGAGGCTTTTGAAACTCAAAAGCCAAATGTTCTCTACATATTTGTCATGTGCATTCTGCTGTGCCGTTTGTTCCCTGAAGCAAGTACCCAATATACCAGATGAAAAAGATAATCAATCCTCCCCCCAACAGGTAAGACTACAAAATGTTATCTCATCACATGTATGGTTGTCCTGTTTATGAAATATAGGTAGTAGTTTCTGTTGTTTCCATTGATTGTTGTTGTTGTTGTTGTAAGTCACATTAAACATCTTTGTCCATTAACTTGAAAATTTATGGAAGCATATTGACAGTAAAAGCCCTAGCTTTGAAATTCCCAGGAAAAAGTGCAAGGGGAAGTGTCATTTAAATACTTATGGATAGTACATAAGTATTATGCATACTTACATACATAGTATGGATAGTATAACATTTCCCCTCCAAAAAGGTTAAACTACCACAATCTTGTACAAAAGTGCTTGCTTCTCAAAAATGAAATGAAATGAAATAAAATTTCCTGCTTCTCCATAGCTTTAGCCACTAGGATTTTACCACGTATTTAAGTTTTTTCAGTCTGTTAACTGCAAGTATATTTCCTTGTTTTCTGATTTTCTGCCTTTAAGTCAAAGAGAGATTGGGGCACCTGGGTGGTTCAGTCAGTTGAGTGTCCAACTTCGGTTCAGGTCATGATCTCATGGTTTGTGTGTTTGAGCCCACATCGTGCTCTGTGCTGACACCTCAGAGCCTGGAGCCTGCTTCCAAATCTGTATCTCCCTCTCTCTGCCCTTCCCCAGCTCATGCTCTGTGTCTCAAAAATGAATATACATTAAAAAATTTATTAAAAAAAAACAAAGAGAGATTGGACATATTCTCACAATGTTTTAGCCTTTTTCATCTTGTGTTCCCTGAAATCCTTATTGACATGAAAAAGGTTGTGTTAAATAATCCTAAAGTGGTTTAAATATAATTTTTTCAAGAGTTATATGTTTGTTTATTTTTGTTTTGAAAGGCAGATTATAGATATTTTAAGGCAACTATTTCCCAGTCTCTACTTCCTTTGACAGCAAATAAATAACTATTACATAGCGTTAGGAATAAAAGGAAACAAAAGTGAAAATGAAAAACTGAGTCACCAGCACAGAACTAATAATTATGCTCTGACTGTGTTATAATATCTCCACATGGCAAAGGCGAAGCTAGTTCTTATGAAGATGGTATTTGTCCCAGTGGCCACATGCTAGCAGCCACAAGAGCTAACAACATCAGTAAATGTCCCTTGAGCATGTGTAATTATGCAAAGATCCCAATGAGTACAATGGATTTTGGTCTCAGTGAAGGTTATTGCATAGCATCCATTTCACATGTTGTCACTGCCTCTGAGTTTCTACTATAGGAGATTTGCTGCCACTTAGGAACTTCAGGAGGAATCAATGAGGCCTGATTGCCAACTGAGTGATTAATTTCTCCACACCTTTATTATCTAACATCCAAGATATCTGACTTTTCACTCTTCAGATCTTCTTCATGCCATTTCCTATATTTCTTATTTCATAGTTACTTGTATCTTACCAAAATTAACATAGTTATCTTCCAGCTGGCAAGCGCCTTACAGTATGCATAGCTCCTTAGAACTACCATGCTTCCTCTTTATTTTGATAATTGCTACCATGCCCTGAAACCACACTATGTGCCAGGCAACTCTGCTGACTGAGTGTTATCACCCTCAGTTTACAAACAGAGCTGGACACTCAGAAAGGCTGAACAACTTGCCCAGAGTCAAAATCCAGTAAGTTACAGAATCAGTATTAATAGGTTCTGGGGGTTCTGATAAATTCTGCAAGGAAAAAGGAGGGAGAGTTTTGGTATGAGCTGGGCAATTTCTCATAATAGACTTTGCTGGAGCTGCTACTTAACAGCTAGCCACGCCAAGGCCTCCTGTACATTATTTCGCTTCTGGGCAGCTCCCTGTCCGGTCAGTGCTCTGACCAGTTCTGTTTAATCCTGTTTAAAGATTCTAAGGATGAGTAAGGCAGCCTGTGTTACATGACCCTCCAACAATTTTTCAAACAGGGACAAAGAGGCCTTATGAGGAATATACTAGGTTCCTGATTCCCCACCCCATCTTTTGGCTGCATTTCCCCCATAGAAACGGTTCGAGAGGGACCCTTCCTGCTTCCTGCTTCTTTAGTTGCCCCTCACAGTCTTCTGACACTGCGTCTCCCCATATTTAGCTGACTTACATAGTGAGCTTGGAAAGGGGCATTCCCTCAAGAGGCAGAAAGAGAAGGAATGAAATTTGGGAAGAAGGTTTGGAGCAAGAATTAATCCTGTGAAGGAGGCTCAGTGGTAATCGAGGTGTTGGAGTTAGATCTGAATAATGGAGCCCCTGAAAATATGTCAAGAAAACAGGAGTTTGAGGAGAGCAATCCTCTTCAGGTAAAAATGCAAAGTGGACAACTTTGGGGACAGTGCTTTGGCCCGATTGTCAGACTCCATTGCCAGAGACCTCAAACACTGAATTCCATGCCTCACAATTCAGCCCAAAGCCAGCCTGGAAGTCTAGCCCCTCCTTACCCTTATCAAAGGTAATTTAACATTTTATTTGGGGGTTTAAAACAGGGAGAGTAGCTTTCATACGACCTGCAGGCTTTAGACTGCAGTAACCGATTTAATTTAATATCCTAATTTTGCAAAATCTAAGGTTCACGAAGGTAAAGCACCTTGTCCAGGACAACAGACAAACAAACATTTCTGCTTACATTATGATTTTTGACTAGTACTAGAAGAACATTCCAGTTTAACATTTGTGATCCATTTAATACATAAATGTTACAGAAAATTCAAGCATCCCTAAGAAGCATTTTCCGCTTTGATAGCTAACACTTCCTGAACTAAGCACAATACCATCTGCAGTGTTATACTCTGTCTGCAATATTTCACTTAATTTTCACAATATCGCTAGGAAGAAGGAAACTATAGAAGAAGGAATTATAGGAGAGAAAAATAAAGACTCAGAGATTTTAAATAATTTGTCAATTGCTAATATGTAGCATTTTATGCAAGTTTTTGAATTCCAAAGCTCAAGCAGGCTCATAACTTCTGTTATGTGCTGAGTTGCTACACAGCATTGGAAATATTTAAAGGGAATCCAGGGCCACACCTCAGAGGGGCTTCCACTTGTTGTTCCTTCTCCTCGAATGCTCTTTCTCTGATATCCACAAGGTTTAAACTTGCACTTACCTCATGTCCCTGCTCAAATGTCACCTTATCGATAGTACTTTTCTGACCACTCTATATAAAATATGCCCCCTGCTTACCAACACCTCTTCTTATTCCACTTACTCTGTCTCATTTTCCTACCTAGAAATTATTGTCCTGTGACATACTGTGTTTGTACTTCTGCATTATATCTATCACTACTCAGAAATGTAGTCTCCATGACATCAGGAGCTGCAGTCTGTTCCCCAGATCTCCAGAAGAACCTGGAAGAGTGCTTGACACACAGTAGGTGCACACTAAATATTCACAGAATGAATAAGTGAGTGAGTGAATGAATGAATCAAGCAAGAACATTCCATCCCCATCATCAGTCTCATACGATAGCTATCACAGAAGCATGTGGGGGAACTCCAGGCAGTGTAATTTAAAAGGTCCCTGATTTTTTAAAAAATCTAGTTAAAGAAAAGAATATCGCATTATGTCAGTGGCTGGTATTAGAGCATATGAGGGCATAAACTTGCTCTTCAAGCACTGACAGCTGGCAAAAGAATGCTCAAGTCTGCTCTCCTTGTCTGTTCTTCTTCTCCTTCCTTCTTGCATAACTGTGTATATTTAAGAGTCACTGGAGACACTCAATCTGAGAAATGTAGAAACAGCATTTTTTCCCCTTTTCATAAGCCAAACACTTATTCCCAGTGGGTAACATTTAGCAGTGAAGTGTTTTTTTGACACTAGCACTTATCAGTGTTTCAGAAATCCATGGTATAATTAAATTACTCAAAGGTTGTGCTTTAATCAGGAGCAAATTTGATGAATATTCAAGCTGTTCATTGTTAGGAAGTGGAAAGAGATTGACAGAATATTTTCAGTACAGCCTCCAAAGTTACCCAGAAGAGGGTGCTCATGTTCTTTATGATATACGCCATACACAAATACACACACACTCACACACCCCCAACAAAACTTTCTTACATAACTGACCAAGCGATACTAACCATGTGCACTGAATGTTAAGAAGAAACTATATACACACAGGCAGTTCAAAAGTCAGAATCATTGCCTTTTGATAGCACAAAGGTGTTTTCTTCAGT